AGTTGGAAATCTGATTTCCCTTACTAAATTTAAACTGAACAGTAGAGCGGCTTAGAACGTACACCTATACACATGGTCATCTCCTCTGCCTACCATTCCACTCCCCTCAAAAACAGAATTGAACAAACCATTAATTCTGGAGTATCTTTCCTTCCTATATTCCATGGTAATGAAACATAAATTGGCATATCTTTGAAATGGCAACTTTGATTGCCAGGGTTGAAATGGCAACTTTGAAATAACTAGCTCACACACACACACACACACATATATATATATGTGTGTGTGTATATATGTGTGTGTGTGTGTGTGTGTGTGTATGTGTGTGTATGTATGTATATATAAGTATATATTTATGTGTATGCATGTATTGCCTGTATGAGGGTAAGTGCACCTGTGCTGTGCAATGCCCGCGGAGGACAGAAGAGGCTGTCGGATCCCCTGGAACTGGAATTACAGACAGTTGTTAGCTGCCATGTGGGTGCTGGGATTCAAACCTGGGTCTTCTGCAAGAACAACCAGTGTTCTTAACCACTGAGCCATCTCTCCAGCCCCCATAACTAGCATATTTTTAAGTGTATATATTCTTTACATTCTTTTATATTCCTGTAGGACTACATAAAAGCATGTGTATAATAATGGTCACTGCTGTACTGCAGACAACAGAGGAAACCCTGGATACAGCAACACTACAGCATAACACAACTGTCCAAAAGGAGGTTGCACAGGTTTCATTTCTGTTGCTGTGATAAAAGACCCTGACAACAACTTAGAAAAAGGGTTTATTTGAGCTCCCAATTCCAGGCTATAGTTCATCACTGGATGTTGCAGCAGCTGGTCACATCACACCCACAGCTTCGAGCAGAGAAGGAAGTTCACGCCAGGTTCACTTGCTGTTGCTGTTGCTTCTGCTGCTGCTATTGCTGCTGCTGCTGCTGCTGCTCAGCTTGCCATCTCCTCTCTCACATGGCCAGGACCCCAAGTCCACAGAACGAACGGTGGACTGGGTCTTCCCAAATCAATTACGGCAACTGAGAAAAATCCCTCACAGGCATGCTCATGGCCAACCTGATCTAGGTAATCCCTCATTCAGACTCTCTACCCAGGTGGTTCACTAAGGTTGTGTCAAGTTGACAAGTAAAGCTAGGCATCATAAAGGCAGACCCACACAAAGTCGTATGGACAGTAATGTTACCTCTATTTTTAAATTTTTTTATTTATTACTTTTACTTTTATTTTTATGTGTATGGGTGTTTTGCCTGTATGTATGTAAATGCACCCATATCCTGCAATATCTGCAGAGGTCAGAAGAGGGCATAGGATCCCCTGGAACTGGAGCTACTGATGGTTGTTAGTCGCCATGTGAGTGCTGGGATTCGAGCCCAGGTCCTTTGCAAGAACAGACAGTGCCCTTAACCACTGAGTCATCTTTCCAGTCCCAGGGGTTACCTCTTTGGAGTGGAACTTAGAGGAACTTTGAAAGTTTTTCTTTCAAAAATAATCAACATGTGTCACTTAAAATAAACCATCCTTAAAATTCCTATCTCCTTATAAGTGGTATCTGAGGCCCAAGTTTAGCAACTCTGTTTAATTAATCCATAACCCTTCTATGACTAAATCGTTCAATTAAATAGAATCTATATAAACTGGTTGGAAATCTGATTTCTTTTAGTAAATTTAAACTGAAAATAGTAAAGCAGCTTAAAATGTATACTTATTCACATAAATATCTCCTTTATCTTATGTTCCCACTACACAAAATATACATTCCCATACAGGTGGGTAAGCAAGCATGCAAACATAACCAAATGTTCTCACGTGTTCGATAGCACCCGCCTGTCCAATGCTATATTCTCGGTATCGCCCAAGCATCTGATCCACTTGTTGCAGGCTCCGACTGGTGTCCTTGAGAAAGAAAGTACTCTATTCATTTTTCCAAATGCTATTTTTCATGACCAATTTTGGTGGTATGTCAAAGAGCTGAGTCAATAGTTTTTAAAAGGCACAATTTATGTCACAGATAAGCTGGATATCAACATATTTTATAAATATTAAATCATTATACCACTGTGAAAAAAATTCAAACGATCTGCAATTTGTGTTAAATCTGAAGCACATAATTTAAATCCTTATCAAGACATGTGAGAGCTACAAGAGGCAAAGAAACAGATTCTCTCATCCTTCTGGCCTACAGAGCTGTAAAATAATAATGTTTGCTGTTGTAAGGCATTTAGCATGATGATGGTCCATTACAGTACTAAGAAAACTCACATGCTGACTGCAAATACTATTCGACTCATACTATTTAAAAATCTATCAAATGCAATCACTGTTAAACTAACCTGTAAAGTACTTGTTATAGTGTTGACCTTCTCAGTGACATCTACTGTAGGATGACTTCCGGTTTCCCTGCGAATTGTCCTGGCTGTCCATCTACTCAATCTGTCACGATAGCTGAAGTGATCTGAATCACTGGATGATTCTGCCATTGATGTATTCAAAACCTTCAAAATAAATCCAAGTCAAAGTCAATCAAACAGTAAAAAACACAAAAATAAAGGTTAGCTATGTATTTTCTGATATTTGTAAGTATTTACTACATTAGTCCTTTGAAGTATACACACAAGAAAATACAAGTTCCCATGTAATCTTTGTTTGCTTTGCTCTATGGAACAGTTCCTCAGATTATTTTAGCTATGTTTACAACTCCAAATAATACCTTAGATTTTTACAGTGCTCTAAGTTGTTTAAGTACTTTCCTACATAATATTTCACAGTACTATCAACAACCCCACCCATGAGAAAAATAGAAACAGTCTCTGAAGACCTGCAGTTTGGAGCTGAGGAGATGACAGCCAGCAGGTCAAGGTGCTGTCACACAAGCACGATGACTAGAGTTTGGGTCCCCAGCACCCACATAAATACAAGGTGAGAGACAGGGGTCCCCTACAGCAAGTTGGACAGCTAAACTAGCCAAATCAGCAAGTTCTGGGTCCAAGTGAGATACCCTACCTCAATATATAAGGTTGAAAACAATTGAGGAAGATACTGGACACCAACCTCTGGCCTCCAAGTATGCATACATCCATATATACGTCTGCACCAATACATGTGAACATGCACAGACACATACCACACATAGACATGCAAAAAGAAAACACAGCTCTTAATATTAGTACATTCTATTAGGCTTTAAAAACACATATTATATACACATATATAATGTATCTTTAAAAATAAAATACTATAGATGCACTGCACTACCTACAGTAAGAGAATCCAATCCACTGTAGAATGAAACCTCTCCAGCAGCTTAATTTAAAATTGCAGAATTAAACAGATGATGCAACACAGGAACAAACTTTACAATCATGCATTTGTAAAAAGATGCCATCTTCAGCAGCTCCACTGAAATACAAAACCTAGCTGCCAGAATATGCTTTCATCAGTGGGAAGTCCTCCAAGAACACTTTTCTCCAACCTTCATCCCAAGTTTCAGGAAAAAACATTTTTTTGAAACAGGGCCTCCCTGTAGTCCCAGCTGGGCTGGAACTTGCTATGTTGACCAGGCTGGCCTTGATCTCACAGAGATTTGCCTGCCTCTGCCTCCCAAGTTCTGGGATCAAAGGTGTGCACCATCATGCCCAGCAAAGAAAAAATTTTAATAGAACTCAGAGACGCCAAATACATTTAGAACAAAAGTGCACCAGAAGTGCATTGAGTATTACAATAATTCCATTTTCTGCATAATGGAGGGTTAACTCAGTCTTTTATATTAATTGCTAACATATTCTTAAAATACATGTGGACATTTTTCCTGACTCCTTATGTACAGTGTGATACATTTTTTTTCTTTCCTGGAAGAATATTCTGGATCTTTTGAATATTTTTGTTACATCTTCAAAGTACATGATTCTATGTCTCTAGAGAAGTGAGGACCCTTGTTGTGAATTTACATTATTTTCAAAATGAAATTACAGTCTTTACCACATCAGAAAAAGCATCAAATGGAATATCCAACCCCATCATACAAACTGGGACAGGGCTACAGAACATCCTGGAGAACACCCATGCATCTCACATACCCATGTCACTCAGCTTCTTCTCACACCATCTTCTCTGGTCTCTGCCTCCTATGTGCAGGTACAAAGGGACTCCATGATGTGGCTTTCTCCCACATCAGAAAACATACGCAAGAAACTAATGTTGGCACGACTGTTTGGTTCTGCTTTCCCCAGCTCACAGCTGTTTAAATGCACCCCCTCAAAAATAAAGTTAATACAAAGATATCTGATAGTTAATTCTAAATATCAGTTTTATCAGATTAATAAATATCTGGAGCATTAGTGAAGCTCCAGGTATTTGTGATGCTGTTTCCAGAAACCATGAGATCATGAAGGCTTCTGACCTAATTCATGGATTAATCCTGATGGATTTATAATGGCATTACTGAGATGTGGTGAAAAGAAGTGGGTGGCTGGGGGGATGTCCTTGAGGTGATATATACCCCTTGCCCTTCCTGTCTCCCCAGTTTCTCTGCTGTCTGTCCACCAAGAAAGGAAGGAAAACATCCTCCAAAAGCTCCCATCATGATGTTTTGCCCAAGCACATGGGACCAAGCAACCAGGGACTGAATTCTGTGAAACTGTGACTCAAAATAAAACCTTCCTCCCTACCTGAAGTTATTTCTGTTAGATATCTGTCACAGTAACAAGAAAAGTAAATAGTATAAGATCATAAATAAGTATTTTGTCCTTAAAACTCGGTAAATCCACTTTTATGAATTCTTCATTAATCAAACATGACCCTTTACCTCTCAAGTACTTTCCATCTTTTTCCATCAGTGAATGAAGAACCAGCATTCTCTAGGAGCCAGCTATTACACACTATTATTATTATAAAATAAGTACTATTAACCTGTGATTTATAAAGAATGTGAGACTATGAGTTAAGGAACCTATCCTACTCCATAAAGTGATTATAAATAGAAGACCAAGGATTCCCCTCACCTTATCTGTCTTAATGCTCTGTTCCTTCCACTGTACCCTGCCGTCTGTTTCTCAGTGAGAACAGTCTTAACAGTTAATAAGAATTGCTATAGAAAGCAGCAGGACACAGCTCGCTGTGTGTATAGCTTCCCGACTCATCATTTCATGTCAGGAGAAAACATCAACTAAAGGCAGAAATTTAAGGCAGCAGAGTGACATCTTAAACAGGTACAGAAAAAAAAACGAAATGCCCTATCTACCCTGCATGTAATAAAGAAATCCTGAAAATAAAACAAACCATTAGCCTCCAGGTAAGGGGTCTTAGTTCCCTGATTCTTCCCATCCTTTCTATGTGAGAAAATAATAACCCTCGTATCTCATCAAATTTATGTCTTTATAACAATAATTTTTACATCAAAATTATGTTACTTATAACAATAATTTTCATTTTCACAAGTGATACTTCTGGAAAGTGAATTAAAGTTAAGAAATCAGACAAAATCAAAAGTGTCAGTGAAAAACGACAACATGCTTACTCTAACAGTGGTTGACGGGAACAAGGATCAAAATACGTATCTTTGGGACAACTTAATTTTTCTAAGAGTACCAAAAATTTCAGTAATAATAATCTATGTACAGATAACTTCAGTGGGTATTTTGTGTATTGGAGTCTTCTAACAGACAATTTGAGCTTCAACTTGACCAAGAACACCTAAAGCTGAAATTGTTATGGTTCTTTTTAACTATTTGAAAAATGGTTAAAATAGATACTACTCAGAGACTAATAGAGTAAACCCTATCTACATACAACCTAGAAGTAACTAACACTAATGGTAAATGCCATCATCTTAACTTATCTGCTGCTTGGTTCAACTTTGGTCCCACGCTCCATGGAAAACCGAATGCATGATTTCATATATAATCCTCCACATGACATTTTTATACTTTCAACACAGGCACAGTTCTTTCATATGATCAATTAATACATATTAAATAAAGAGTGGTGATGTAGAGTATGTGAATTCTAAAACAGAAATTCTTAGAATTAAATAAAATTGAGAACAACATAACATTTTCTCTTACTGCAACACAATTATAGGATGAAAGAAGTCCTCTCACTTACCCCAACTAGGATCACATACTTTCAACAACTTAGAATCACTTTTCAGCATGAGCTTCACTAGTACACACAAAGTCTCTGCTATTAACTTCAACTACTGTGAGCAATGAGAGTCGTTCAGACTCCTGCATCTGGTGGGACTCCTGCAAAGACAGCAACACTCGTGGTGACACACACCTGAGAAATCACATGGCTTTTCTTAGGCATATGAAATATCTGGAAACAATCTAAGTAATTTTAATTATACAAGTTTTATAAGTGTTGAACTAAGGAAAATTAAAGAATATGATTATCATAGAAATCGACTGTGTTCAGTGTTGACAAAAACCTGGCACTTCCTTCCACTATCACTAACAGTTAAAAAGGTCAACTGACTCCCAGAGCTAACTTGGGGAGACTCCCAACTCCATAACTCCAGTTCCAGGGGATCTGACACCCTCCATGGGCATTGCATAACACAGGTACACTTACATAATACAGGCAATACATATAAACACATAAAATAAAAATAATAAATATTTTTTTAAAAGAGAATGGTTAAAATACAGAACATTCATTGGAACAGTAAACAGCCATTACTGTACAATGGAACTATACAATGGGAGAGTAACCATCTATCAAGAACCCTGCTTTCAAACAAAGAGATAAAAGTATGAAGTTTCAGAATAAATGTTAAATGTCTTCTGGGTATGTATATAAATTATTAGTATGGAAACTTAGAGGGACGAGGGATGCAAGGGATGAGGGAATAAATTACTCCCCCAAAATATATTTACCACTCAATGTTTATGGTCAATTTGTATTCTTTTAAATATTCCTATCTTTCATGAATTTTCAATAATGAATTTGTATTAATATATAATTGGGAGAAATATATAGTATGTACTTAAAAGAAAGAAATAGAAAAGAACACCTTCAAAGACAGGGTAACAGGCTGACAATGAGAAAAATGAGTTCAACATTCTATATTCAGATCTCCCTTTTCCTTAGCACCTGTTTCCTTTTCCTGCCTGGCAACCTCGTGATTTCACTTCCTAGTCCCTGACATCCCTAGGTCCTTGCCACTAGCTCTCACCAACTGATGGGCTAAAAAAACAAGATCACAGGCTCTGTTTCTGAATTTCACTGTCTGACCACAAGAATAGTTATCATGAGCGTATGAGCTAAAAGAAGAAATATTTTCATGCTGTAATTTTTTCTCTTTGTAGTTTTGCTGAAGGATGGTTAATTAAAAACTGACTTATGTAAAAACACAATCCAAGTGCCAGAACGAACGCACATATCAAACACATGGATATGTACTGACACTGCCTATTGCAACCAAATTCTGCTTTGGAAAACAAATTAAGAATGGTTAGTGAGTGATATGTAAGGAATATTGCAATTTGAAGCTCAAAGAATTAAAACAAGTAGAAAAGAAACCTATTGAAGCCTAAGGAATATTTTCATCATTGTTTTAAAAAGGCAAAGGAAAAAAAGTCCAATTAATGAAAAATCCACTCATTAGCACAAGAAATTTCAGCATGACACATGATGACAGAAAGAATGGACTGTTAAGTCTGAAGAATATCTGTACTCTTGAAGAATAATTTAAGAGAACTGAATTACCTAAATTCTGGTTAAAAGAAAGAAAGTATTCCCTTTAATTAGAGAAAAACAGTAATTCCTCTTCTGCTGCTTACTACCAACTACTTATGCAACAAAATTTCTCACTGACCAGAAAATCTACTCGCTTTTCAGACCTGAGCAATTTCCAAGCCTCAGGAGAGGACAATGATGGGCAAGCTTAGATAAAAGGCTATAAAATCTTAGAGAAAGCTGTCTTGAGTGGCAGATGGCACAATTCTTACAATAGTTTATTTTTGCTGCTCCCAACACATCAATATTTAAAAATATAAATATTTTCTGCTTTAAATGAACCTTATAAAGAAGACATACAGCCACCAGAGCAAGTCATGAACCCGCATCAGTTCATTTCATCTACACAAATGCCCACATGCAGCCCTGAACACAACACCAGAGCCAAACCCTACTGAAGCCTGTCATAAGAGGACTGATGTTAGCCTTTAGAAGCTCTACTCCTTTTGTCATCTGACCTAAAGAATCATCATACTGTCTACACTGCAATGAAGCACATTTGTATGCAGGAGAGCTGACATTTATTGATTCTCAAATCTCTTTCCCTCAGGTCAGTTTAAAACAATTAGGATTTGCAAGCTGTTCCATAAAAGATAAGCACACAGCATGGGGTACAATGCTTCTTCACAGAGACTGACTAGTGTGCGTCAAGGTGATTGCTTCTTCAGCCTCCAAGTGCCTCAGTGCTGCCCACCCAAGGTGACTGTCCTCAGAGAGGTAGTCAAGGTCATGATGTTGATATTGAGAAGGGAAGATACATCTTAAGCTTAATCATCAACCAAATTCAAGTTTTAGAATGTATTTCTCACCCTCTCAATAGCTGTAGGACTTGAGAGCACAGCCTCACCCCTCAAGTTAAAAAGTCAACAAGCCAGCAAAGGTTACCAAGTATGCACAATTATTAGCTGTTCCTTTCTTTACATCAGTGGTCCTCTGTCACACATTTCTTCAAACTCTCCCAGTAAATTCATATATGATCAAAATCAACCATCCATCAGTCAGCTCTGTTAAACTGGTAAATGAGGTACTCTATAAGAAACAGAAATCAACAGATATTTTAAAACAGGCTCATTCATTCATCCTTTACTGAATTATTACTACATTACAAATGAAAGATAAGCAAAGGACAGCATCATAGCACTGAGGAAGCAGAGCAGAGAATCAAGAGTTCAACGCTGACCTGGGCTTCTTAGCAAGGGGGGGGGGGGGGGGAAAGGGGGGGTTAAAATTAAAGATTAAAGAGATTGAAGTAAGAAAGTCATAGCCCTTGATAGGAGAAAGATTGTATGTGGAGAGCTAAGAAATAAGAAAAGTTACAGGAGTCAGATCAGGATCCTTCACTCAATGAGGATGAGCAGAAGTTTCACACATGGATAAGATAAGAAAATAGGAAACAGTACCAGTCTCAGAGAAACCAGAGAACATCCTCATATCCTTCTAGCAGAGAAGCTCAGCTTCATCCGATATGCATGTTGTAGCTTCATAGTCTATGGATAGTTTTTTGTTTTTTTTTAAGAATTCTAGGGGGTGCTGAAGAGATGACTTAGTGATTAAGAGCACTGTCTATTCTTGCTGTGAACCCGGGTTTGATTCCCAGAACTGACATGGCAGCTAACAACCATCCGTAACTCCAATTCTACAGGATTTGACACCCTCTTCTGACCTCCATGGGCACTGCACAACATGGGTGCACCTTCATACATACAGGCAATAATACACTCATACTCATAAAATATTTTTTTTAATTTTTTTAAAAAAGAAAGCTGGGCATGGTGGCACACGCCTTTAATCCCAGCACTCAGGAGGCAGAGGAAGATGGGTCTCTGTGAGTTCAAGGCCAGTCTGGTCTACATAGTGAGTTCCAGGCCAGCTGGGACTACAGGGAGATCCTGCCTCAAAAAACAAAAAAAAAGAAAGAAAGAAAGAAAGACAGAGAGAGAGAGAGAGAGAAGAAAGAAAGAAAGAAAGAAAGAAAGAAAGAAAGAAAGAAAGAAAGAAAGAAAGAAAGAAAGAAAGAAAGGAAGGAAGGAAGGAAGGAAGGAATTCTAGGGCTTGGTGTAGTAGTATACCCCTTTAACCCCAGCACTCAGGAGGCAGAGGCAGGCAGATCTCTGTGAGATCAAGGCCAGCCTCCTCTATACAGTGAGTTCAAAGCCAGCTGGGGCTACAGGGAGACCCTGTCACATTGAAAAAAAAAAATTTAAAGAACTCTAATATTGAGGCTGGGGAGATGGTCTAGTGCTTACAAGCACTTGGTGCTCTTCCATAGGACCTGAGTTCAATTCCCAGCACCCACATCAGATAGCTCACAATCACCTGTAACTCCATCTCCAGGCGATCAGATACCTCTAGCCTCCCCACATTCCGACACTCATGTGCACATATCCACCAACAGGCACACATTACACATAATTAAATCATAAAAATAAATCTTATTTTTTAAAAAGAATTGTAATATTGTCAAAAGAAAAGGAAAGTAACTGAGCACCACGACTAAAAGGAAAACAAAAGGAATCTTAAGTGGGGAGTGACATGATAAACACATTCACAGAGCTTCCCACAGAGGCTACTTCAGTCTGTAAGGGGAGCACCTAGGCAATGGCAGAGGGTGAAGGAAACAGGAGATGGTCAACCAGAGAGTCAAAGCTGAACGAATGAGTTTCCAGTTCTGTAGTTGACTGGATCGTGGACTGTTAAAGACAGCAAAGGATCACTGAAGAGAAAGAGACTTTATAAGAATGTTATAAATTCTTCAGGTAGGAAGGGAGATCAAATTGTGTATCATGGAAGGAAATAACAAAGTGAAGATACCTAACAGGCACAAGGAAGTGTTTGAGAGTGGTCAGTATGGGAGCAGTAGGGGATAAAAGGACAGTGAGAAGAGAGACAGAACAGGGGAAACTCCCTGGAGTACTCCACGTACAGGAGCAAGATCAAAAGTGCTGGTGAGTAAGACACAGGAACACGAGAGCTAAGTAGAAAACTAGGTGACTTGGCAACACAGAAATTATGAAAGGTAAGTTTTAAGTGAAAAAAATAACTTTTAAAATGCTTCCACTTTGTTGCCTCAGCTGCAAATAAACTCTTTGTTGCCTACTCTTCAAAAACCACATCATCACCTCTCCACTGTAGTGGCAAAATACAGTCCAGTCACAGGCGGGGCTGATGGGACACTGCAGGAGGAAGGCCTCTCCTGCTCCCAGTGCTTCCCATTTGCTTCATTTCCCTGTCATCGTCCTGTGGCAGGGACATCCGCTGACACTCATTCCCTCCAGTTTTGGTGGCACTAACCTCTACTCCGATTCAGTGAGTCTCACAGGCAGACTTGCAATCAATGTCACACTTCGGCCTCCAATACCCCAGAAACATGTTTCCTACCATGGAAACTGCTGGCAGCTCCCATCTTCCAGACTCATTCCATCTTCATTCAAGTATTCCTTATCATCAGTGACTACAGTCCAGCTATGGCCTGGGACACCAGCAAATCTCTGCACCATCCAATGAG